CGTCCCGAGGTCGGTGGCGGGGGGGGGCGGAATAGTGGTTTATTCCTCTTTAACGCAAGAAAAAAGAACGGGGGGGAGTGACTTATTGAATAGCTTATTCCAGTAACATACCGTAAAATTACCGAGGTGGTGTGAACGGTTTCTTTTTCTTTCTCTCCCGCTGCTCCTCTTTTCCCTTTACCCTCTCCCTTCTCCCTTCCCCTCAGGCCACCTCTGCAGAGGGGTGTGTGAACTTGAAGAACTCGGGCTTTTTCAGTTAAAATCTTGCATCGCAGCGCAGCAAACATGCCTGAACAAAGCAATGATTACAGGGTGGTTGTGTTCGGAGCAGCAGGGGTTGGCAAGAGCTCCTTGGTCCTTCGTTTTGTAAGGGGAACTTTCAGGGAAACCTATATCCCTACAATCGAAGATACGTACCGGCAGGTAATCAGCTGCGATAAGAGCATCTGCACCCTTCAGATTACAGACACCACGGGAAGCCATCAGTTCCCTGCTATGCAGAGGCTGTCTATATCCAAAGGGCACGCTTTCATCTTGGTGTACTCGGTCACCAGCAGGCAGTCCATGGAAGATCTTCAGCCCATCTTTGAACAGATTTGTCAGATTAAAGGGGACATCCAGAAAATCCCCATAATGTTGGTGGGTAACAAAAGCGACGAGACCCAGAGGGAGCTGGATGCCAGCGAGGGGCAAGCGCTAGCCAGCAAGTGGAAGTGCTCCTTTATGGAGACATCAGCCAAAATGAACTACAACGTGCAGGAGCTCTTCCAGGAGCTCTTGAATCTGGAGAAGAGGAGAACTGTCAGTCTCCAGGTGGACGGAAAGAAATCCAAGCAGCAGAAAAAGAAAGATAAACTGCAAGGCAAGTGCTCTGTGATGTGATTGACTTTGGCCGGACTCTCACCGCTGCATGGTGTAACCGGAGCACGGACTCCCACAGAAAGTACCTTTCTGCTGGAGGTTTCAGATGAATCCATGCCTTATAGGGCTACTGCTCTTCTCTAAAATCTCCACCGGATTATTTTATCTGTTGGTTTTAAAGAGGGTGGCTTTCTGCATGTTTATTTTTTTTAAAAAAATAAACGTTCGATGTTAGCAATTACACGTGACTAGAAGTTTTTAATGCAAGGAGTTTACGGAAGAGAAAAAATGTCAGTCAGAAACAAGCACCTCTATTCCTGTGAGTACATGCTAGTTTTTAAGTATTTCCAGCCTATTAGCTCAAAAGACATCATACTATCTGTAATGTGTATGCTTCAAAAATTGTTTTCAGGAATCCGGAGCGGATCTTTAACAAAGCTAGGCATTTGCATTGCAAATGAACGTGGATGTGGCTCCAGATGCTTATATTTTTGGCAGACAGACTGGCTTGCCTACCAAAGATGCAGTTTTTCCATGGCAGAAGTTAAGTTTTCCTGTGTGCTTTGCAGTTCCTGAGACTTCTGCAGTTCTGTGCGTGATTACAGCTATTCCTGCATACAATCGGGCTGTTTGCTTTTCCCTGTTTGCCAAGGTAGGAGGTTCCACATCCTCTGGCTCCAAATCCAGGGGTGATTCCTGGCATCCTTAAGCAAGAGCTGCCTCCTCCATGAAGGAAATCAGGTTTTTGTAAGTACCAATGGTTATCTTGGCAGCTTGCCTTTCCTTTCCCAACTGTAAGTCTGGTTTTGCATGAAGCTACTTTTGCAATCTTCTCTTGCAAGTTCTCTTAGATATTTCTCCCCCCTCCCCGCCTTATTCCATCCAAGTTACCCAGGTTTTAGTTGAGACTTATGACAAGTCGATCCAGGTGATGCTGCTTCAGGAAGAAACATCTACACCTGGAAGCTGCATGTTTAAAGCAAACTCCTCTCTGATGGAAACTTTTAGCAGATACTTCCCACAAATCAAAGGACTGGAGACTTGGGCTTAGTGTATCTCGCCTCCCTCCTTCTGCTTTTTTTTTTTTTTGGCTATTGTTAACAAGAGACAAGCATGATAAGTGATAAGCCTCAGCTGCAGTGCATGGTTGAGAAAGGTTTCAAGAAACTCGGTGCAAATATTCTCTGTCAGCCTGTGCTGTAGATCTCCTACTTTATGTATGTATTAGTCCAAGCAGAAGACTGTGAGGACCTCAGGACTGCACCGTAGGTTTGATTTTTACACAACAACAGTCTTGACGCAAGAGACAAGGGAGAGAGGGATTGCTTCTTTTTATAGCACTTTTCTAGTGGAATGATTTTGTTGTTGAAGACGAACAAAATACGGAGCAGGAGATGCTGGAAGGTACACACCCTTTCTTAGTTTGAAAGCGTTCTTGTCGATTAATGACTGCTGGTTTTCTACGTAAGATGCTAGAGAAAGGCCTGTTCTCTCAGCCATTGTTTGTTCATGTGTTGCAGACTAATACACGGAGCCCCGAGGTTTGTGTCTGTGTTAATATCTCTCATGTTTGAACAACTCTTACATTCAGTGCTGACTCGTTATGCTCCGTTGTCTCCCGTGTCTGTCCGTGAGCTGCTTTTCCAGCCTCCTCAGGCTGTTCCCACGCAAACACGAGGGGTCGGTGGCTCCGTGTGTGCCAGGGGAGTTTGCCTCAGTTACAGCTGGAGCCCTCACACCATTTGATTGAGCAGAAAATCTTACTTATTATGATTTCAGGAACCCAGGCGAGTTCTGCATGAGCGTTGGGTGCCGACTGAAGTGTCACGCTTACTTGCCAAAATAAAGCGCGGATTTGCCAAGCTGATACAAAGGCTCTGTGCCTGATTTTTCCTCCTGGAGATGATATCCCACAAGCTTCCTGTGCCGGACCTGTGGTGCTGACAGGTGTAGTCCTCTGTGCCCCTCTTGTGTGTCACCTTCGCCGTTGCAGTCGGGGGTGAGTCAAGCTGAAGGGCAGCTGTAGAAGCACCCGTAATGGCTTGGCTTGAAAATAACTCGGGCTTTTTCCTCTCTAACTTTGCGCATGAACTTTGATCTCTCTGTTCTTTCATTTCCAAGCAATTATGCAATGCTTCTCTGTGGGTCGTTTTTAGCATCTGGCAATTATTATTGCAAAGACTTTCGGTTCCATTTCAGCCTTTGAAACCCCTATAAGACATTTTATATTGAAGCCTTTTTAAAATGTCATGAGACCTAATAATGTCTCTGCAACTCCCACTGCCTTCGTGGAGATGCCTGTGCAAAGGCAGGGCAGCGTGTATCTGCAATTATTCACAGAGCCAAGATGTTCTGTAATGTGTCATTAGCGCTGCGGTGTTTTCCCTGTGCGGGGTGGGGATGGAGCTCACGGGGGACGGGGGCCCGACGGAGCACGAGGACCAACTCATGGGGACAAAACGGGCTCAACCCCTCCTGCACCTGGGAGAATCTCTGGCAGATCCCCCACGCCGCCTCAGTGGCTGCGAGAGGAGGTCCCACAGGACTGCGTGGGCCATGGAGGGGCTTGGGGGGAGATGTTGGGGTGCCCCGGGGGAGGCAGGAAGGTGTGTGTGGGGGCATTGGGCCCCCCAAGTCCCAGCCTAGGAGCTTGGAGCAGGCTGGGAACGAGCAACGCCTGGTGCAGCTCCCTTTCATGCTGTGTAAATAATCTACATTTTGGGTGTGCTAGATCAATTGTATTGTAAATTAAAACTGTATTAATAAATAAATTGTATAATTGTATTTGTTTCCATACAAACTGAACCAGTCTGATTTCTCTGTCTGTGTGCGTGTGTAATCTATTATTCTTACAAGAAGGGAAATTTATTTTCATTGAACTGATGCCTGTCAAGATGTTGGCTATTAAAAGTTCCATACAAATCTAAATTACAGGGCAATATCTTGACAATCTTCCAGGGAGCTATGTAGAGAATGACTATAGTTAGTAACAGCGTGAAAAATACCATCTCGCTTGGGGACGCCTGTTAACCGTTACAAAACAGCGTCCACGTTCCATTCCTAAATGGATTTTACTCCCTAAACCTTGTATTCGGGTCTGCTTCCTCGGCACGCGGCGCTGGTGGGCTCCTGTGTGCCGGGGGAGATGGTGGCATCGTTCCTCTTGCTCTCTTACAGCCAGTAGCCCTGGGCTAACGTCGTTACTCTGGAGCAGTGGCATAGCTGTAGAATTACAGGCCTCAGACTAACTGGAGAACAGCTGAAGATCCGTTGTTTTTAGGGACCGATGGGTAAGTTTTTGCTAAAACTCTACTTGAAGTAATATGTGCCTCGTGCAGATAGCCTCTGAGGAGTTTATTTGCACACATGCTTAAGTTTTCTTCCTCGTGCAGCAGCGTTTTGCTGACTTAAAGGAATAATGATTTTTCTTCAAGGATTAAAGTGTTTTGTAGCATAAGGATTATATGTTAGAAGTAAATGCTTTAGCCTTTTTTGAATAAGTGCAGCTTTAAAAAGTGAACAGATCTGTTTTTTTAAAAGAAAAAAGCAGAAGGTATGCTGATGAAAGACAGTGACAACATGTTTTTTTTATGGAGCTATTCATGCATCCTGTAAACTTTTCAGCTTGGAGACATGCCTTGACACACTGTTCCTATCTGGCGAGCAGAATGGTAACTCACTGTTTCCCAAGTTGGTTGTTTTTCTCTCCTTTTTTTTTTTGCCTTCCCTCTCCTAAGTCGATCCCAGAACTCGCTGTTTTTCTGAAATGTTCTTCGTGAGTTCAGATGTGGTGAGACAAGCTCATGGGAGATGCTGATACAACTTGTTGACTCTCTGTTGATGCCTCCGTAAGGTCTTTCCAGGATCACGAGGTGAACGCAGGTGACTGTAAAAATCCTCCGTGCAGTGTCCTGAAGGAGTCGTGAGCCCTGTCGGTAGCCTGGGTGGCTGGATGAAGGCCGAGACATTTCAAGCGAAGTCACTCACTGCATTTACTCGCTACCCTCTCTCTCAGGACTCAACGAGGACTGGCAATTCCTAGCTCTGAGCAGCTAGGTATGTATTTCCAGCACTAATTTAACCCCCTCTTTCAGTTTCTCCAGCAAGCAGCTGCTTTAATTTGGAAGCAACGTGGACCGGGTGGAGCGTTAACCCCGGTTTTCCTTAGATCTCCCTTCCAGGATCCCCAACGTGCTTTAAAGCTTGGCTCAAATCTTGCCCTTAAAAATCAGTGCCTTGCTTTCTGCTGCTGTAGAGCTCTCAAATAATTTTCAGAAACAGCACTGCAGTGCGTTTCCGAGAACTTGTTAAGCAATATTCAGGCTAAAAGGTGTCAAATCAGGAGTGTTTTAATGGACAAAGACAATAGCACTTCAGGCCTTCTGCTGCTTTGCTGGAAGAAAAATATTACAGGACCTTTCATTTTAAAGCCGTTCCAAGGTTTCCTCCGCATCCCAGAAATTCAAACATTTGTCAATTAATAATAATTTCCATGCAACACTTGTCGACTGGCTTGAGGCAGCTTCCTTTCCTGAGTCTGGCCAACAAAATTAGTGTTAAGAGAAAATACCAGGGAGGAGAATCACGAACAGCTCTCCTGCAACTCACAAGAGAAAAATGTGAGCAGTAGCTGGAGTGTCCACCCACACATGTATTTTAAAAACAAGCAGACAGAATATTGCCATATTCTAATTCCTCTTCCCAGAGCGAAGTAGGCACATGATTAATGTAACAAACAGCTCTGAATAATAAGCAATATTGCTTTATATGCGTGGTCCGTCGCTGCAAGGTACTCTGCGCACTCTAGAAGAGTAAAAGCGCTTCTTAATCATCATCTGCCATCTTCTACAGTTTCTGGGGCGTAAATTAAGTACGTCAAAAGCATCTAAGAGCTAGTGAAAACGCTGAAGACCGCTTAAAGCTGGTTGCAGCAGAGCAGCCTCCAAGTTAATGGATATTGCCGCGTGCTAGGCTAGCCCTGCTACCCTTAATTGTTTCCTTTTCCCCCCCTTTTGAACATATTTAATAATGCAAAAGTCTGAAAATTAGAGGGGAAAGGAACGAGGCAGAGAGATTGTGTTTTCCTGACTTAGCGCAGAACCAGTCTTCCAACCCAACCCTCCCTAACTGCCCCTGCAACCCCCCCGCTGCCCCCCAGCCCTTAGCTGGGTGGAAAGGGGGGGCGTGGGGGGACCACGGTGGCCCCTCGCTTCTTGGCAGCCTGTGCAGAGAACTTGGCGT